GGAACATGCGTAGGCACATTCCCTCAACAATCGGCCCAGAAATGAGCAAATAATGGTCGCAGGGTTGAGCCCCTCATTAGAAACGGAGATGAAGAGTCGAAAAACTGACGAAGAATTGCGACCATCTGCCAGGTTCAGTACAGTTCTTGGGTTTTGTTACCGGGAAGACCATTGTCCGGAAACGTTCGGCACGAGGCTCCGCATGTGTAAAAACAGACAATGCCTAACAAGTGAACATAATGGGAACGGTGCAAGAAGGCAATGACTGGCTGACTGACTTGTTGACGTTTCTAGAACTGGACCTCTCTCAATATTTCTTGCTCGGCTTCCTTTTCTTTTTCTACTTGTTTTCGATAGATGATGAATAGTTCTGTCAGAATGAGTGCAACTGCCAATTACTTTCACGATCCAATATTTACAGTCGTTGTTTTCGACCTTTTCGCACTGCGACCATCTCTCCAGTTTAATTGAAACATGAAGCCACGAACTCCTCCGAATCCCCAACTTCCCATAAAGAGTCCGCATCCCTCCGTATTACGCATATATAAATCGTAAACAGATATACCAATAAAATCAAATGACGTCTCCTATGACAATTAGCCGTGCACAAAAAACGCAAATAAAACAATGCTATCAATCACGCGCTTTTTTTATTTCATACTTATTATGTAAGAAATTTTATGGTTGCTACAATAAATTTAACAACAAAATTTTATTTCACCATAAAATACAATAATATTTATCCAAAAGTTTCTCATTTCTTCGTCACTTGTGCAGAATTACATTACTTAAATTACTTGAAATAGATATTTTTTTATAACATTTTTTTTTTAATTTAATTATTTATTTATATACAATTTTTTATTGGTCCAATTTCTATAAAATTTTACAAAATACCAGTTAATAACTAATAAATCTTACATTAATTAGTTATTATAAAAAATATTCAATAATGAACATACATTTTATTGTCTCATCAATTTGTCTGGTGCATCTTATGGTCTGAGGTAATTAAATGTGCAAAAAATATACAGAAATACCTGGCAGAGGTCAAAAAAAAACATATCGTCAAATATCGTTAATTTCGTTTAAAGCCAAACTAAAGCAATAAATAAGATTAAAGCGGCTAACGTTTATGCTAAAACTATGATGAAACGAAACCTTCGGCAATAAACTGTATTGAACTGAGAATAAGTACGGCTTCTCTGAAGAAGAGCTACGTCTAACCAATGTTAATGCAGATTATGTTTTACAATGTTACAACCTTTTCGCTACTGCTACTATATTTTCTCTTTTAACATTGGTCATACATTTCCAATATGATATGTTTTCTAATTTATTGCAAGTGCCAATAATAAACGGTGATTTTTAGCAAAATAGAAAATACTCCATGCTGTATATATTATTTCGTCTTGTAAAAAAATAAAATATTTTTAGCCCTAACAATAATAGCTATAAATCAGTTAATTATGGGTGTGGTCAAGCAATATATATTATTATACTAAATTTCTATAGTTTACATAGAGTTTTTCTTGTTGAAATTAAAAAGTCGTTTTTTTTTAATCCCTGTTCTATATATAATTTCTTACTGACTTTATTTCAAGTCACAACTCAACGACGGTCAAGTCGGTCTTGTCAATTTTTATTAAAACATTTTATGTTTTGATAGTTTTATTTGCTATACAATACTTGTTGACAGAATTATGGTCCCGCAATGAACTTAATCCAAGTGGTATACCAAACTTAACCATTTCAGTTTTATGTTGCAAAATAGGTATTCAGTTACAAGGCATGCCTGAAGTCATGTCTACCATAAAAGTATTAGGCGGTAAGCGACTGACTCGCTTAACGAGCGGCGTTTCGCATAACGCATATATAAATAAGTATTCTCATTTAAATAAAGTACATGTTCTATTTATTACTAACTTTTTTTGAATGTCAGAAATTTCAAAAATATAAACGACCGTCTTAGCAACCCTTGTGTATAATTATGATAGTGTTGTAAACAAATATTTAGTGGAAGTCAGAGGTCAACAGGGTACCTGCCAACTCGGCGATGGTCAATTCGGCGACGGATACTCAAAAAAATATTTTTAAGAAATTCATTTATTATTGTAATAATAATAATTTATTGGTCAAGAAATATTTAACATAAAAACAAAATAAAAAATATTAATTATAAAATTTAAAATTTATAAAAAAAAATAAGTAAATATATAATAATAATATTAACAAAAAAAAATGGATTTTCTCTACGAATTTTTTATTATTTTATTACATGATTGTAAAAAAATAACACATTTTAAATGTCCATATATTTTATGTTCATATAATAAAATCGGTTTATCCAAAACCAAAATTTATAAATAATTTCAAAAAAAAAAATAACCGGAAACATTCTTTCCTCAGTTTTTAAATTAATAAATCTGACCGATTTTATTAATGGTTTTCTTCTATGTAAATTGTAAATATAGTTTGTATTGAAATCGTACTATAGAGAATCCGATTGAAACCGCACTATACGAGCTATTGTTGTAATTGCATACATTAAAGAATACACTAATAAATCAAGATTTCAAGATTTGGAACAAGATATGATGAGATCATTTATATTATTACATATTAAAGCACCAACCTTGTCGTTAAGTTACATAAAGGATCCGTACGATAATAGGAGGAACTCATAATACAAGGTGCGAACTTAGATAAAACCCATATAAAGGGATGCACTCGCATTGTGTATTTTTTTTGTTTGTTTGAAAGGAAATACGTAACCGGTTTGATGTGCCGTCCCGATTTTTTTTTCGTTACCTCTTCATTTGGAATGTCGCTTAAAAAGCTTCATGATGGCTATCATATCGTGTCATCGAAGTTATTCCATCATTGCCACGTTGTCCTGAGCCGACTACGATTAAGATCGTTGGGGTGTGTAAGCCGTATTCCTGCCTGCGTCGAAGAGACGCTCATCTTTGTTTTTATTTTCATGCAGAAAAAATAAAATACTGTTCAGAATCCTAATTTTTATTACTTTTATCTCTACAATAACTGTGTATGTTTCAATTATAGTATTACGTAATTAAATTAGTTTGAATTTAAATTATACATTTGTTTTGTTATGGTTTATACAATATATTTATAATAAATATTTCAGAATAATTTATATTTTTAAATAAATTAACAGTAATTAATAATTTCATTAAAATTAATTAAATCATTAAAATTTGACAAAAATATAACAAAAATTACATTTTTTTATATAGATTATTTAAGTAACAATTGACTCAGAAAAAGACAATTAATCAAATGGATCAGATTTAGTAATTTAAAAATGAGTAAAGAATGTTTCTGGTTAATTATTTTTTTTAATTTTATTATATCTACATCAAATATATATAATCAAAAATGTGTAGAGAAAATATCGAAATGATAAAATCATAAAATCTATCAAATTTTATAATTGAAAAATGAGTTTTTTTTTTTGTAAATTCAATTTTTGAAGGAAAGAGTTTGAGGAAAACCAGTGATCAAATTATTAAATCGATCAAATTTAATAATTGAAAAATGAGGAAAATAAGTGTTTTTTTTTGCTAAATTGAATTTTTGAATTATTTATAAATTTAGAATTTGGATAAACCGATTTTATTATATGTAAATGAAATATATGGACATTTCAAATGTGTTCATTTTTTTACAGTCATATAATAAAATAATAAAAAATTTGTAGAGAAAATCCAGATTCGGAGGAGAAAACCAATTTGATGATTTGAATAAAATCGATCAAATCTAATAATTGAAAAATGAGGAAAATAAAAGTTTTTTTTGGTAAATTCAATTTTTGTATTATTTATTTGAATTATTTTTATAAATTTTAAATTTGCATAAACCGATTTTATTATATGACTATATAAGATAAATAGATATTTAGAATGAGGTAAATTTTCTGCAATCAATAATAAAATAATCAAAATTTCATGGAAAAAAATTCAGACTCATGGAAAAACCAGTGATGAAATCATAAAATCAATGAAATTGAAAATTTTAATTATTTATAAATTTTATTATATGAACATTAATTAATTCCACGAATTTTTCTTCTATTTATGTCTTACTTACACTCGTAATATGTTGTCGGCAATTATAGTTGTAGACTGAAATAAAACGATTATTGTAATAATGTTTATTGCACACTTGCTGTTTTTATAGTATTTCTATATTTTGCGAAAACAAAATACTCAGTAGCATTTTAGTGAACATAAAATATGACCGCAGTTTTTCTGCCCACATTTCCTTAATCTATTTTTGATTTACTATTGTTTGGTGTAATTCTTATTGTATTGTAGGCAATTCTAGTTGTAAACACTTGCTGTGTTTATAGCACTACTATATTTAGCGAAAAACAAAATATTCAGTAGCATTCTAGTGATCATAAAATATGACCGCAAAGTGTTAACTTCCGTCAACAATCATAAATTCACAAATTTTATTGCATAACAATAACTGTTGACAGAAGTTTTTTTGCCCAAATTTCCTTAATCTTATTATTGAATGAGATTGAAATGTTCCGATGGAATTATATTACCTAGATTGCAATAAGACCGTCAACTTTGAAAGAAACCCAAGTTACCGCAACAGGTTATACAATAAAAAAAAGGAAAATAATATTTATTTTTTTTCAAAAAATTATATTGTAGGATTGTAATCTTCAGAAAGGTTGACCGCAAATACCTTTTTTTTTGTGACCATTTTTATTGAACTATCAATAAATTATATAAATTTTACACTATACAGCAATGTTTGGTACAAAATACTAATATTTTTATTATTTGATGTATAATTTATGAACAAATATAAAAATTATCGCAAAACCAAAAGAACGCTTTTTTCTTCTTCTAAATATATCCTATTTATTTTTTGTCAGTTTAAAAGAAAAACGCCGCAAAATTAAAGATAAAAAGGATTTATGTTTGCAGTTTTGGTATTCGTTTGAAAATAATAATGTGACAACGAGAAGTGTTGCTGTAATCCATTGACGATTAGGAAAAGAATATTTTAGCCGACAATTTTTTGAGAAAATCGACGCATCGTAACTTTTAAGTAAGTAAGAAAAAAAAACTTCAAAAATTCTATAAAATAATTTCAGATTTTTTTTAAACAGAAATTTCATTGAACTCGAATATAAAGTAAATTTAAATTGTATTAGCATATATATTAACAGTTTTACATTAGTTTTGAAATCTCTGAATTTATATTAACACAATAAGATAGTTAATTTTAATTTAATTATATTTTAGCTTAATCATTTTCAGTCCTTTTGTATACTTAATAGATTTTCTTAACATTTGTGTTTGTTAATCATTAGATAATATTATTTGTTTGTTTGCGTCATATGATTTGAAAAGCAGATACATTAGTAAATAAGATTATTTACAAATTGTAAATTGGATTTTATTTGTTAGTTTGGAAAGAAGACTTTGGTCGAAAGTTCATTGATTAATATGTTTGTCTACTGTATAATTAAATAAATAATAATCTTTATTTATTAATAATGAGTAACGTTTCTGGTTGTGTTTGAATATTGGATCTAAAATATAATTGGTATTTATATTTGTATATTTATATTTGATTGTATAGAGGGGATTCTTCTATTTTGAGAAAAACGTGGTTGGGACTCAATACTGTACGGTGCACAATTGAGAAAACAAAGTGGATCAACTCCTGGATCCTCTCGCCCTCCCGTCGTGATGTTACAACATAGGAACCGCCTTTGTTATCGGTAAATAGGGGGCGCGTCGAGAATCCGGATTGGCTGCAAGGCACGACCTTCCAGTATAACCATGGGTATATAAGGCCCGACGTGGCCTTCCACAGTCAGTATTGAGTTAGCATTAGAACTGTTCGCACCACATCTTCGCCCCAACCGAAATGGTACAATCAGTAAAAATGCAAGTCTCAATGAAATCAACATCGTTTTTGATCAGCTCCCTCATCCCGGAAAGTGTAAAAGATGAGAGAATAGCCCAAATACCATCACCAGTGTCAGATATAAGTGATAGCAGCGATTTAGATGTTACCACAACTCCACCGCCATTGGATTGCAGCAACAAATCTGGAGATGAAAAGGAAGAAGACAAAGCGAAAAAATCGAAAGATAAGCCGCCGTACAGTTACAACGCGTTGATCATGATGGCCATCAGGAATAGCGATGAACAACGACTAACATTGAACGGAATCTACGAGTACATCATGTCGAATTTCCCATACTACAGAGAAAATAAACAAGGATGGCAAAATTCTATAAGACATAATTTGAGTTTGAATAAATGCTTCGTGAAAGTTCCGCGACACTACGACGATCCTGGAAAAGGAAACTACTGGATGCTCGATCCATCTGCGGAAGACGTCTTCATCGGTGGTACTACTGGAAAGCTTCGACGACGAACAACACCGGCATCGCGCTCTCGCATGGTCCCCTTCAAACGTTCCATGGTGTTCTCCTCCTACCCAACCCCATACCAACCCTACAACCCCATGATGGGACTTTACCAAAATCAAGCGGTAATAGCTTCTATGTACAATAGATACAGTCCACCATTCCAACCCATGACGATGGTCCCGAAACCCCATCATTTCCCATCTACATACATTGCTCCCCAGTACGAAATTTTCCATGGAATCACGATGCCGACGCAACAGTATCCCATGCTAAACCAAACCATGGCGCTGTCGCCAGTCAGCAGTTCGGGTAGTCCGGAACCCAAACCGGTCGACATCTTTAAACCATTGGCAGTCCTCACTCGACCCAATTGATTTAATATGTTACCTAATTCAGCTAAAGCTCATTGTGATCTCTTTATTTAATTTATATTTAACCAAAAAATTGATTTTTTTGTAAATTTGTACATAATTCCTGTATATAAGATTGTTTTATATGTTATACTAAAAATTATTTATTTATATATGTGTCCGCAAGGATCGTCCGAGTTTATTTATAACTCGATTTAATTATAAGTTTTGAACTGAACTCAACTCTCTTTTAATCTACAAACTTACCTTCACACCCCTTCAAAAAAAAAAATCGAAAATGATGCAAACGCAATTCCTTTTACTGCCGCTTCATTCAATGACCTTTCGACATTTTTACGATTCGGAAATTTATAGCACCCAAAACAATTTTCGGAAATAAATCCAAGGTTGCGTAACTCATTCGTTTCTCACTTCAACAATAAAATTTAACATTTTTGGGTTCGAGTATAAAAAGGAAATCGAACAACTATTGCATTAAATTAGAATTCATTTTACAAATAATTAAAGAGTCAGAAAATGCTTAAATCTTGGCCACAGATTTTATGGCATTCTATTTCTGCAAAAAAAAAAAGTAGAAGACTACAGAAGAAAATATCTATTTTCTATTGCTATGAAAAGCTGAAGAAATGCTTTGTGAATGCCCGGCAATATCGGATCTACCTGATCTCCTCTGTCTCGCATGTTTACACTTTTTCTGGAATTTAGTTTATTGCCTTTTTCTCTCCCCCAAAAACCAATTTGCGGTGAAATTCAAAGCAGTAAAGTTTGGTCTAATAGAGTCATATTTTTTCCTTTTTAAACCATGCAACTTGTCTGAGTCCTATTTTGCCTGGTTCCCTAGGGGAAAAAAAATCTACGGGGATTTGTTTATCCACATTTATTATTACAAATATTTTCAAAACCAATATTTCCGTATGAATTATTTCACGTTTAAAAAGTCAAACGTCTAATTTAGTGGTGTAAATAAACCACACACAAATATTAGTCAATATTTTTCTAAAGTATAAAATAATAATAATGTTATTGCATCAGTCGTAGAAAAACAAACATATACAGAAATAAAAAGAACAAAATAAATATATATAATTTCTAAAAAAGTCAACTGATACAAAGGGCTATTGACCATAGGTCTTTTTGCCCTTCTAGTATATCATATAAACATTACAGTTATATTAGAAATAATAATAGTTATTGGAGTAGCTATTAAAAATATATAGAATGTAATAAAAGAAATATTGAGAAATACCAATATTTTTTTTGGCAAAACTGGGGCACATACTTTTTGCGAATATGACAGAAATAATTTAAATATTGCACTGACAATAAATAACAAATAAAAAATAATAATTTATTGGCTAGACAGGAAATACAAAAAAAAATACATTATATGAATAAATAAATGATAATAATGACAACTAAATAATAAAAATAACTATCAAAATAAGTAATAAATTCTAACAAAAATTAACAAAAAAAAATATTAACATGCTGGCCAAAGGGCACAAATAAAAATTTTCCTGCAAATAAAAGTTTTCTATTAGATTTTTTTTGTTGATATTTTTTCAACAATTTTCTTGGGAGTATATTGAAAAAGTTAAATGTTTAATTGTTGGAGAGGATTAAGTGGGATTTTAATATTAGTTGTATTCCTTTCTTTTCGTCTGGATAATCTTTTTTTTACATTTTTAATCTGATGGTATTACATTTCTAAATATTTAAGGGTAAAAACTTAGTTACCGCAAGACTTGTACCAACAAGGAGTTATAAAGGATTTGGATTAGCAAGGATCTTACATTTGAAATGGTTGCGGGCGGATGAACGGTCCCACAACATTTTATTGACTAACATCTTGCAATTATTGCTGGCACTGCACAATTTATTCAAACGTTTTTGGGCTTACACATTTTTAGTTACATAAACATTTGTTGCTTTCTAGAATATTAAACCCAAATTAATATGATAATTATATAAGAATAGTAAAATTAATTTTTACGCATACATTAAGCATTAAATTAAATTGTAAAATTAATGAAGTACCAGTACTAGTTTTTTTTTTAATGTACGAAATATTCCAATTCAATAAAAGTATATGTAATTTAATACAGTTTCAACAGTAAATGCATGTATAAACACAATAAAATTAAAATTCATATACACATATGTATTATACATACGAATTTTCATTCAGACGTCACGAATTTCATATTAATATTACGATTACAAAAAAAAAACATTATACTTTTTAATTTACAAGATTCCTTTCAATTCCTTTCAATATAATTATTATTAATAATATTGTGCGATCACACGTTTATATAATGTCATTAATAATTAAGTTATCTCCATTATTTTAGATAATAATTATAAATTATCACATAGAAATTATTACTCAAGTACAATATTTACCCATTTTTCTACTAATAAATTATTTATTTTTTTCCAAACATATGTATAACAACAATTTCTATTTAGAAAACAACTATATAACAGTTTACGATTGGTATCATTATATACGAGCATGTTTTCATTTTAAAATTCAAATTTAATCAAACCTTGAGTATAGAAACTATTAAAAATTGTAATTTTGTATTTCAATTGAATTACAATTCGTTTGAATGTATAATTATTTATTTTCGAAATACAATCGCTGTTATTCCTTGATACATTTGTATAAACTAAAAAATAATATTTACTGATTCGAATCTGTTAGTTTTGGAAATAATTTAGTATCGTTTTTGCAAATTATCAAAAATCATTTTTTTCTATTTTTTTTAAATTATAATAATAACTATTTATAATAACCTTAAAATTAAGAAATCTTCCAAATTAATATTATTTTATTGTTATTAATAATAAATAATAACAATTATTAAACTAATCTTATTTTAGTTTGTTGAAATGTAATTGTTACATGAAAAAAGTTCATGTAATAGAGAAAACTGATTCACTGTCGTCCTTTGGATTTTGATGTTCCCAACGTGGGGTAAAAATAAAAATTTATGTGAAAAAGTGGAGGGTAACATCCAAAGAAATATGTCGATGTAAGCGATAAAAAAAATGTATATGTGATGGGGTAAAATTTCATATTTTCATAATTCAAAAAAATGGGAGTGAATTTTGATTTAGTATTTTTTGTAAATCTTGTATCAATTCTAATTACAGCAATACCCTCGCATAGTGCAGTTTCGATCAGTCAGGTATAGAATTTCGAGGCTCGTTTTGTGTGCTTTCTATTTTATTTAGTTTCTCGATATTTGCGCAACTAATATCAATAAAGATAAATAACATCTTTATTGTCATTTTAAAAAACTGACATTGAATAATTTTATAATATAATAATCAAAATGCTTATGAAATTTTAGTTTGAAAAAAAATATGTTGTCATAAGAAAATGACATTTTGTGAGTGATGTTAAAATAAATTAAATGGTAAATAAAAGTGTTTAAAAATAAATGTAACTGAATGTGTATGGTCTTGGTGATGGTGATTAAAATTAAATTGGACGGAAGAGAAAGAAGGGTTGGATCTCATGACGTAATTTTGGTTGGAGATTGCGGTCCTTGTGATGTGCGAATCCGTGACATTTCCGGGTGTAATTATTGACGCCTACGGAGTCAGCAGAAGCTGTCTTAAACCGCGAACGGAGGAGGGTGAGTTTGTTGTTTGATTGTGGAGGGCACGAATACCCCTTTTCTCCGTGCCGGTCGCGATGATGTTGATGAGGACAACGACGACGATAATGCGATGTTGACGATGACATAAACGGGCGTATAATAAACGCGTCGCTGGCGCAACGATGGCAATTTGGGAGGCGTCGCGACGCCGCGCCCTCGCGTCCCAACGCCCTTGCGCCCCTGCATCGCAGCATCCCCGAGCCACCGCCTCCCAATTAATCTCGTCCCGGGGGTTGGCGCGGTCCCTGGCATCGTTGATCCTTGCGGTCGAGTCGTTTTGTTGTGCCGTTTCATCTTGTGAAGATCGCTCGGCAGGTAATTGACATACCAATTTTGTCCACGCAGCGGTTACCAATAAATAATATTATTTATCGTCGCTACACTCGCAGAATGACCATAAACAATCCCAACGAACCTACCTACACTCGCGAGCGTTTCTTCCCCAACCCCCACGAATTGCATTAGTACCGCACGATTTATTATTATTTTATAAATGGCCACGTGCAATTGTTCAATGCAGACGATGAAACAAAAACTAAACCGAAAAAAATGCATCGATTGCATCTTCATCTCTCGTTCCGAAATGCGGCATCTCTCAAAATATCCCACTGCTTACATTTTTTTTAAGCATTTATTTGAATAAAGGCTTCTTCAAATTACATGTTATTTCTCGAGTAACTTGTCAAATATATGTTTATCTATTAACATTCATTAAAATGTAAGATGAATACACAATACACAACTTACCTACCAAATTTGTAAATTATCAAGTAGCTATCCATCAACTGATTTGCATTAAGATGTTCCCATCATACCTAGAAATATGATCAAATAAATTTATTTTGTAATATAAATATTTATCTAATGTTTACTAACCTAGCTTGTAATGCATGTAGATAATACTTGAAACATATTTATTTGAAACAATGAATTGATATTGTGATTTTAAAGTAATATATATAGTATTGAATTTTAAGTCACTTTAAACTAGTAACAGATTTGAAAATATTTTGTGACAAATTATAATAATTATAATTTATAAGGTAAGTAAATTTTTGGTAATTAATCCAATGGAGATTGTTAAGTTATTTGAAATATTTATTAACATAAAGTGGATGTAAGTAATTTATTATTTGTTAATATATACAATTAACAATAATTGGATAGTTTAAAGATTCTAGTGTACTTGAAAAATAATTAATATATAATTTAACAAATATGTTTAATAAAACTATAAAAAAAATATATTTTGCTGTTTGCAGACAATTCATAACTTTAAACATATCATTTTTCTTAATTATTCTTTCTTTTTAAATAAGATTCACGGATTATAAGTGTTTTAAATAAATAGTGAATAAATAAATAGTTATAATGTATTTCATGTTTTAATTGCAATGATTAACGTTTTTTAGTGATTTTACCCACATTTATA